CTAACAACTCTATCGGTTTGACCGAAAAAGCAGAGGTATGTCCTGAGGGCTTTATCCTAAGTCCACATACTATTTTCTGACGGAATCAAAAACCCAAAACTTGGAAACGGGAGTATGTCTGTGTCAGAAATCACATGGGGAACGCTGGAGGACGCACTAATGGGCCAAACTCCTCGCAGCTGAGCCATGGTGCGGTAGAAAATCGACGAAACCCATGTTTGAGTTTTTAGCTAGCACCTGTGCAAGGGGACTGAATTTGAAAATCAAGTAGCGCGAAGCATAATCCCAAGTCGAGTCAGTAACGGTTTCATGCTGACAATGGTTAAGCATTTTTTGAGCCGTCCTTCTAAATCATATACAGGAAGAGAATAGTTGTACAAATTCAGCCATATGCTACTGGAAAGATGTACAAAAATTTGCCGGTCGGACACGGGCATATGAACTCCCTGTGTACTAGTAGGCTGTCTTGGCTCAGTCAAGAGGGGGGGCACCTAGTCCCGTCTCCTACCTTTAACCTTAACTCTCCTGGCCTTTCGAACCCTAGCAGTGACACTGGTCACCCTGGAATTTAGCGCAAGGCCATCTGTAATACGGGGAGTTTCCTATTCCCACGTCCTGCCAAGTGTTCGTTACGCTAATTTCACGGGACCTTTCATCCTTTCCAAATGTGATAAGTGGAGGGAGGGGTTACTTCGGTTTGTAAATTTGCAATCGTAAGATTTTTGCGTCATTATTAGTGGTGGTCCCAAAACACACAACGTAGTTTGTATTGGTCGTTAAATGTTGTAGGCATCCAAAAAATTCGTCACGCTCAGGAGGTATTACTTCGCCGTAACAAGAGTGGAAAGGCAACCAGTTTCAGACATAGAAGTACTAGTAGACTTTGGCAAAACGTACAAGTTTCTTCTCCCAAGTATAAAATTCAAGTAAGACGTTATTCCCTACGAAAGGAATCTCAGGGCATCCCTTTTTTAGAAAAGCTGATAACATTCATGCGAGCAATGAAATTCAACGGAGATAGTAAACGCTACTTATACGGCTATTTTTTGTAAGTGTGACTTGTAAAGATGGCTAGAAAGGTGCTCACTAGGAAGCCAATCGGACAATGTTCCCTGATAATCCGTTTCGTAACCTTGTGTAATTTACTCTCACTTGAATGCGTATCGAGGAATCTCCGCAAACGATGGTAGATTTTCAAGTATGGGCTGGAAGGAATGTCTTTTACTTATTATAGTTTACTCATCGACTCCGAAGCAGGTAAAAGATTAGACTGACACATAAGAATAACTGACTTTGATGGAGTCCAGGAGATATCCGAAGATGAGGAGTGCAAAGTCGCTAGGTACCCAGATGCGTTGTCCATCCAGATACCTGATTGAAGAAGAACAAACAGAGGTTTGAACAGGGAGGCAAGGGAGAGTGGGCGAGGAAGGGGACAGGAGGAAAATAATGCTTTTATTTGGCAGTAGAAAGAATGGTAGGACACGGGTACAGGAACTCTCCCCCATAATAGAGGCTGTATTGCCCTAAATTCCAGGCAGATCGGGGTTGAAGCTATGGTTACTGTTAGTGTCAGGGTTAGGACGTAGACGATAGCATCGATAACCGAGAAGAAACAAGGGGCATTCAGTTTTCTCCGTTAAAGTAGAAAAATGCAAGTGGTTGGAAGAAGAGGATGGAAATTTCTGATGACTCTAAAGCGCCCGGATCTGACAGTGCTAACCACTTTTGCTGTGGCGACGCATGCGACAAGGCTACGTGGGATGTCTGTGGTGGGGCTGTAAATACGACCTTTTATTGCAGTTGTAAAATTATCCCATCTGATGTCCTAACTGGTATTGTTTCCTCACTGTAGGCATGACGGCTTTCGTATCTGACGGAAAAATACTATATGGTAACTACATTGGAGAATGTTTTGCCTATGTAGCAGACCCGAAATCAGACAGGACATTGCCGTCAAAGCTTACAATCTCTCCATATAGCTCCATACGGCCGGCAGGTGGATAGCCGTTCGGACTTGGGATTACTGGCTACGACCAAGGTTTGAGAAGGGCTTTCTTCAAAAGAAGGCGTTCTGCACGCGTATCTATAAACCAATGTTCAACATCCGTCTCAGAGAACTTATGATACTAGTTGAACGTGCACATAAGTTGGGGCGGTCCAAGGATCCCTCGTGCCCATGATAATTTGGTCATCAAATATTAAGATGCCGACGGTGACCAACTTTTCGGTTTCGTGAAGACCCAGGGGCTGTGATTAACAACAGGGGTTAAAACGTGAAGGCCCGCTCATAGGACTTCTAGACAGCCAGAGAGACTGACCACGTCTTTCTCCCTAAATGCTGTAGAGTTCCACTTCTCGAATGTCGATCAAGCCGACAAGCTGAACCAGACAATATAGCAAGGTGTTTAATAGTCTCTGTCAACGGTTGACAAGCATGGTTGCTGAGGCGCTCGACACTGGTAAGACATGAGTCATAGAATGCCGTCAGTTGGGGCTTCGGTTAGTCATCTTAATCGCAGCAGGCGTAAGTTGAGACAACTCCATAAGCACTGAATAAAAACTAATGGAAAAAACATTAGCGAGGGTGGATTAAGATGCTCTTTTGTAATCAGCAACACAAGAGAGCTCTACCTCGCTCTTCGGCTTTACCCCACAGTCTGACGATCGGCCTGAATAATACCAAAAATACGCTTCGTGATAGCTTCAGGGAGTTCGCCCATCCCCTGAGACAACAGTATTTTGCTTAGATGGATGCCTCCAGTGTAACTAGCACAATATGGGTTCCTATGACTGTGACTGGGTGTTACCGTCTGTTTTTGAATTGCTTGTAAAAATTCGATGAAGAAAGCCTTATGGTGATGACAGACGGACACCATTATTTCCTCTATTAGGAGTTCGGGACTCTAGCCGAGTTGGTATACTCGGTGCGTCTAAGGTGAAGGAGTACTTGGCTGTAAAAACGGATGCCTTGCAGAGTGGTCTTCTCGCCCTTCCTTGAATTATGCAACAGGACCAACTGTGCTGACAGATTTTTGCGGCCATAGGAGGGGAAATATGATTCCAAAAGCCCTCGACTCGCACAAAACGAATGGCTTCTCAAAGAAAATAATAAAACACCCAACGATGTACGAAAGGGTGGTCCCGTGAGGCATTGTTTATGAGGAGGAATGGATTGTGGTGGAGCTTGCCTCTTAGCGTTGCTGCCTGTTCCACTACGTGCCATTCGGATAAATCAGTTGTAAAATAAACATGCATCTGTGTCTGATAAAAAGGCAATCGGCAAACAAATAGTGTTAAAATGAAGCGAGCTGCCTAATTCCAACAAATCGGCTACTCTGGATGACGGCGATGGCCTCAGTAACAGTGATGGTGTAGTAGTAGTAGTAGTAGTAGTAGTAGTAGTAGTGGTAGTAGTAGTTAGTAGTTAGTTAGTAGTTAGAAGTTAGTAGTTAGTAGTAGTTAGTAGTAGTAGTAGTAGTAGTAGTAGTAGTAGTAGTAGTAGTAGTAGTAGTAGTAGTAGTAGTAGTAGTAGTAGTAGTAGTAGTAGTAGTAGTAGTAGTAGTAGTAGTAGTAGTAGTAGTAGTAGTAGTAGTAGTAGTAGTAGTAGTAGTAGTAGTATTTACGAACCATTATTACACAGATTTTTCTTGCCACCGCTGTCATCCAGGAACTTGAGAACCCAGCTTGCGATACGTGTTGGGATATCTACGACCATGCTAACTGAACCGTCAATTTCTGAGAAAGGTGGGGCTTTCATGACAGAATAATTCAACTATCTCAGGATCTTGGGTTCGAGATCTTCGTTGGGTTAGGCTATGCAGGGTGCGCTCTGCCCAACTAACAGCTTCTATTACCTGCGAGTGGCTTCGAACTCACGGGCGGACATCAAATGAACTACTGCATAGTCATCTGGTCTCAAATGCGACCCCGCCCTACTTGCAAAATCAGTGGGCTTGTTTATGTGCTGACCCCGTGGTTCACAGATTATGTAGCTAGCAAACAAACTGCTTAAACTTCACAAGTGAGTGTTCCGAACTTTACGTACCGGAAGTTTATCATATAAGAGGTACTCCGGCTTTAACATAGTACAGACTTAATAAATCGCGATAACATTTGCTGCAAAATAAGTAAAGCAAGCCATTTACACAGCTCACTATCATTAATGGAGGCTCCTAGGTCTTTAAATTTGTTGAGTAATTATAGTCCATAAATCGTATGTACTTTTCAGTCGACTAGTTTCTAAAGAAAATAAAAATGGTAGAGCTTAAAAACAAGAAGTCGCCAAAAGTCCCGGAACATTGTTAGAAAAACCCCACTACCACGCTCTGAGGCGTGCGGTGGACACTGTCGTTCACGACGGTCGAAGTGAATGAACAGGACGAAAACTCCATACTAGTTGTGTCCCCACACACTATGTGCTTAGTGTGGGATAACTGGTTTTCTACCAAGAACAAAAAGTACAGCTAAGAAACCTGGATGAGAAATATGGACATCTGAATTAGCATTATGCCTCAACATTACGATCATCATTGGCAACAGTACCACCACCATAATAACTATCGTCATTTGAGAAGCATGAGTCTCCATGTGATTCGGATCAACTGACATTTTGGCTTAATTCTTGACTTCTTCAGAACTGAAGGTCTTAAAGTGCCTGTGAAAAGCATGCGTAAATACATGAAAGTGCGAACGTCGCAGGTGAAGAAACCTACGTCTTTAGAGAAAAATTGAAGTTTACGGCGGCAGCTTTAAAATATAGTATATAGTCCAAGATACACACCCTCCGAATAAGCAGTATATTATGAATACTTACGAAAGTATGGCCTTGACTACAGGTACAATGTTTGTGTAGGATGATCGGCAAACAACATCTTTGAAAACAAACACCGCCTGCCTGCTAGGCTCAAGTTCCGACTCGTCTGGCTCCTGACCCGTAGGAGACCTGAAAATACAGAAACTGACGTCATAAAAGCCCGAACAAGTTGAAGGCTGAAAGAAAATTTCGCAACCGACGAAGATAAAGAGTTAACGAAGTTTAGAAATCCATAAAAATACGTTTTCAACGGGACGGGGAATGTCGCCCAACACGAAGAGACTAAGCTATGTTATGACTTCGCATATGAAGTCCAGATTTGATTTAGGAAGACACCCCGAGTGAGTTTTGGGAGAACACACAAATGCAGATACCTAGCGGAAGAGGCAGGAGCGGCTTCCCTGCGGTGTTATGCTGATTGAGTAGTGAGCATAGAGATGAGGAGTGGAAGTGAGAGTGGATAGAATTAACTGCTTTATCTTCAGTGGCAAAGAGTTTCCAAATTCCGAGAGGAATTAGCAAGGACTCGGAAGAGCTGGAGGGGGTCCAGGGTTAAACGAAAGCTCCAGGGGAGTAGTGGCGTTTGGAATAGTTTCCAGCAGGCGGATACTCGCACTAGTCGACTTAAATTCTATTGGGAAAGCGGGGACCTGTGCACAACCGTTGACTAGCTACTTTGGCGAGGCCACTCACTTGCAGAACATTCGCTGTCTACTCAGGCTACTGAATGCTATCTGAAGGCCGTGCAAAAATCATGAGATGAGAAAACAGAATTACGACTTAAAACTACAGTCTCTGCCGTCGAATGACACATTTGCTCAGTGATGAGAACAGTAGTGTGGACTCAAAACAGGGACAAGTTTTGAACAGCTCTTTACTGCAAAACAACAGTCGACCAGGTTTTGGTTAGTTTAGCTGTGCCGTATGTCGCTGACCATGATGGATAGTATAAAAAGAGTTGATCCAACCTAGGGTTTGCCTCCGAACACAAATTGATAGAAAGGGATTAAGGAGAGGCGAAAACAAATCCCATGAAAACGAGTATAAGTTAGTCCTTCATATTACCCTTCCCGAATATTAAAAAGAAGCGCAGGGATGATTTGATCCATGCTAGCGCTCTGTAACACATTCATCCTCAATTGGTCGCGAGCAGTTTTCCTAACGACGCCCTGTAAACCTTGTATTCCTGCAACGCGAACCCTGAAGGGCGAGTTAGAATCAAAAGGAGTACTTTTTCCTCTGTTCGATGTCAGGTAGATTAGAATACGACATGCGACAAAACTGGTCAATCAGTTCGTCATACTCCCTGTGGTAATTTGGGGCATCTTCTTCAATTTGAGAAAACGCAAGGAACTAAAACGGTAAACTACTGACAATTCAAATACTGATTTTGTTCCCAGTAGCTGCAGTTCGGGTAGTTTAGACTCAAGTAGGAGTTGTACCATTTTAAGGAAGCTTGAGTCAAACAAATTCAGCTTTACAGCGTAACAAGCGTTGACTAGGGCGCTCATGGCTTCAACTGTTATGTTGACGTTTCTTCAAGGATTGCGTGAGGATCACAAAAAACATTACTCATAATTCAGATGATTTAAATCGCAAGAAAGTCTTTTGTGCAAATATTTGGCAATGTTATCCAATTTGTCCGGCTTCCGAACACAATAACACACAAGCTTGTTTGTCCCGTCCTACAAAGATTGACAACAATAGAAAAGGCATACAGTATGATTGCTGGAGTAAAGACTGTCAACCATTTTCACCCACTGAGGCCGGCATGGACCGCATCCGCAAATAAATCGACGCGGCGGCATAGTTGTCGGCCCAACTTCGTTAATTAGTACACGAATTTTAGCTTGGCACCAGGAAAACGGGAAGGATAAACAAAAAGCATCGTGAGCTATTGAGAAAACAATAGCGAGACGATCGACAGAACAACTTCTGGTTATCAAAATGAGAAGGAAATAACATGAAGACTCTAAGCGCTAACAAAATACGGCGACGAAGTGCAGCAACAGACCCGTGTTAATTAGCGGAAAAAGAGTTAATTATTCAAAACACAGTAAGAAGTATTCTCACCCGGAATTTCAAGGTAGGACAATTACCACATCCTCTGAATGGCCTTAATTGTCCATGGGACATGTGCTACACCCCATCTGGACCCATGTAACTTCTCCGTTTGAATCCTGGCATATCAAACTTAATCGTGGTCACGATATTAATCAGACAACGATCATGCATTTCTCGTAGCTTTTGGCTGACTAAAGTCCTCTTGAATACACCTTCAAGACAATGTTAAGCAATAAATCACTGCTTTCTATTGTATAATTTCTCCGCCCTCCCTTCTGTTAGTACGGTTCACAATGTGAAGCGCAATTATTGTCACGCGGCTGTCGTGCGTTGCGGAGAAACGCCAAGAACCAGGCCATTCTTCTAGAGCAGTTTTCTCCGCGAATTTAACAAGGAGCCTTTGAAAATTCAGGACTTTGCCACCAACTTAACTCATATGCTTGAATTTCCCTCTCGGCGTGCGGTTTCTCTTATCACGATCTTCCATCAGAAATTTCGATGTTTTTAGTACATGCTTCGTGTCCTTCACAAGACAGGACGTCTTCCCTAACCCATCGTCCAGACAGGTAATCGAGGTCGTGTTTGCGCACAAGTTGCGACCGCCTCCGTTTCGCTCGGAATTGGACGTCATGTAGATTTCGTTTTAGCTACTGGTATTTCGACGCCGCATCTCTATTTTCGGTCTCGAGTTAGGTCTGTCGCAGCCGACAGTTCGGCCATCAATTCCGACGACACCCACCTTGTGCTCCACAGCAAGGTGAGAGCGGGCACGGTGATCTGAGTACGAAGTAGTTTAAAGTGATGGCTGACTTGCGAAACACGAACCGCACTGTCTCCTCCCTCCCCAACTGAATCCGATCAAAAGACAGACTCAAGGAGGCCCGCGGCGGGAGAGGCTGCTGATGGCTGGCGCGACGTAAACCTGTACGCATGCGTACTGCCACTCGCCCTGGTCTACGAAAAACACTTGACCACAATTTTAATCACCAACGAATATGAGGGAGCGCCAGGGACCCCAAGTAGCACGACGTAAGCATACAGGTAAGTCTGCTACTACAGCTCAAATATTGACATTTCTGCAGTACACAGTGCCTACAACGCCTGCGAGAATCCGATCTAGCCCCCGTTTTCGTCCGGCGCATCTATCGCATGGCCCGTTTAGGTTAAATTCTGTCGCAACCTAACAATCTCAGGGCACCCCTTAATAACGCTAGGCTCTCATTTGAGGAGCTGCTTTTATAGTCTGGCTCTACCCGTAGGAAGAACCTACCCTGTTCTTCTAAATCCGTTCATGGAGCATGTGTGCATTCGAAAGGTTGCAAGGAGAGCCCTTTATTGCCCTGTTTGCCTACGATAATTTCGCCCACTTTTTCTCAGAATAAGATTGCAAACATTTAAAATGCTGTCGTTCAGAAGCACAAAATGATTATAAAATAAATATTATTGTTCTGTGCGACTCGATACGGGAAGATTGCGCATCACGAAGTGTCTTTCGAAGCTGGTTGTGAGTAGCCATGTTGCAAATGACGGACTTTGGCAAAAACAGAGCGATCAAGTTTCCTCTTAAACATCAAACTTGCGTCAGCCATCAGTGAGTTTCATGGTAAGACAAGCCGTCGACTGGGGGGAAACTGTCTGCAGTCTCGTCGCATGCGTTCAGTTCCGACTTTGTTGGGATAATTGCATAGTTGATTTGTACGTGCAAGCCCAAAAAAGTCCTCCGCGTGATCAGAATTTTGTTTAACATTTTCGATCTCTGAAGAATTTACTCCTTCCGAGATTTCGGTCTACTGGACTCCCTTGCACACTGTCGTTGCGAAGGTTAGGACCCTTTTTTCCCTGAATATACTGAACTAGTCGGCACTATCTTTATCCTCACAAGTTTGCAACAGAACTGCAGCCGAGGAAACCAATATCCTCCTGACCGTTGCTTGCAGCAGTTCTACGGGATTATCCAACCAAAAAACGGCCGAGTCGTTTTACCCTTCTAGTCATACAGTTGAAATCTTAGTCCCATGACTATGAAAACGTTCCATATTTTTACAGTCAGTCGCGGGAATCGGAAATATGCCTTAAGGACGTTATACAAGATGTATGCGCCAAACGTGCTCTGAACCCCCCAACATCCGTTTGTCGTGAGCTGCGTGGGCTACCGATGAATGATAAAGCGGCTGATTTCAATAATTAAATAAGCATTAATCGTAAGAAGAATGATTGCGATTCTCAATTCGGTGCTAGTAAATTGCCTCTAGTCAAACAGTCAGACAGTTTAGTAGGTTTGCTGAATGTCAGTAACGGAGACGAGGCCTATATGACATGCCTCAGACTCTTTTAGAAATTTTTGCGGATAGAGAAGGATATTAGTCTAAAACCAGATATGGAGAAGTTGTGGAAGATTCCTCACCTTCTACTCATTAATGGGAAATCATGAAAAACAGAAATAAAGGAAGAAAAGGAACGCACGCAAACACGACTTCCCTAGCTGTGATAATCAATGAGACTGATGATGACGCGTCCGCGGTGTTCACTGAAACCGCAAACTACTCTCTTGTACGAAAAATGGGTGACCAGAAGAGGTCTCAGAAGACAAATAAAAGTCTCAGAACATCCCGAGAAGATAGCAAAAGCCAGTAGTATGATGGAACCGAGTTCAAGCACTCTGCATGCAAAAACCGCGATTTCGAGGTTTAAAAACGACCAAGAAGCCTCGGAAAGGGTAGGATAATACGTTACCTCTGCCACCTCTTACCTCCCTCAATCGGAAGGCAACGACAGTCAAATGACCATGATATGATCGCTGAAAGTAAGAAAATCCCCAGGGTCCTCGCGTGGATACCAGTTCATGCATAGCCACCAGTGGCATACCTCAGTCTACTTCTCACACTCCAAAGGTAAGAACACGGAATGACATGGAAGTCTCCCAGTACTATTTCGAATTCCTCCTTAGAGCGGACTAAACAGTAACCGTTCGAAAAGTCTCCAGGATGTACCGAATGAGAGGCTCAAAGAATGAGTCTAGCCCACCAAGATCGCTTACGCTTGTTTTGCAAAATAAGGTGGGAGTTCAGCTAACACTGAGCAGGTAGCCCATACACCGAAACGTCCTCCCAGCGATTTTGCAGCAGGAGTTTTAGCCCGCGGAGCGGGAGAAGTGGAGAGAGCTTAACGCACATCTCCTCAGATGATCCACGCTAGGCAAGAGCAATCTCAAAATCTCGAATGTAAAAATTACATATGTCCAGAGGTCACTTATCTAGAGAAAGCCCATAAAACTGAGTACGGTGAGCAGCCAGACCATAAAAAAGTAGTGCTTCTTGCTGCAGAGTCATCCGGCGCAAATGGCGGTAAACATATCGATGCCCAGTTCGATCAAACAGCAGTAGGCTCGGACTTAGACACAAAATATATAACAGCCGGGATCCGAATATCGTCCGAAAAGCTATCCGGGCAAAGCTTTACCTACGTTATGAATAGAGAGAGTTTGATCGATAAATCAGATTAACTAAAAGTATCTGCATCGCGTAGGCATTTGGATGTAATTCTCGTTATAAAATCTTGGTTGCATGCTCACTTTGAATAGTGAACTGCCATTGATATGTACCAACTCTTTAGCAGAGACGACTGAAAAAAAATTATGGAGGAGTAGCAATCCCCATCAACAGAACAATCATCGCACCTGAATGCGGACTTCTTTGCTCCCGTGATTGCGAAGCATTCTACCTAAGACCCAAGAGGCGTGGAGAACAAAATCTAGATTTCTAGACCTTATGTAGACCGCTCAATCAAACGCTAGATACCGATGAGATTATATGGGAATTAGTTAGAGAAGTGGCCCAAAATCAAGACGCAATTTTTGCCGGAGATTTGACTTACCGATGATCGACTGGAACAATTTATCACCAAACGGTTCGTATAATTCTTTGATTGCAGACTACTGAAGCTGACGACGAATCTGTTTCTCGTTTAGAATATCGCATTCAGAACGAGAACCAAAGAAGCTCAAGGGACGAATTGTTTGTACATCGTCCATTCGAAAGACCTAACTAATGCAGATGAACTTAGGTCCATTGAACCGCTTGGTAGAGCAACGATATCATGCTGCTGTTGGAATGCTGCATGTGCGCTAAACAAATGGAGATTACTGAGGTCCAGATAAATTACTGAAGGGGGAATTTCTCTAAGATGAGAAGAGAAATATCGGCGGAAAACCAGCAGAACGGCATTACCGAAAGTCTAGATGTATCCCGGAACATTCCCACTGGAGTGATAAGCGACTTCATTCATTGTAACTGCCCAATAAAAAAGTCCAAATGGCAATTCAACCTGTTTGCTTAGAGCGAGATATGACGAGAGAGATAGACAGTAAGTGAGAAACACTAGAGAAGGTATGTAGCCACAGCACAACACTTGCATTACGAACAATTTTGCCGATGGCAAACGAGGAAAAGTCAACTGTCCACAGAACGCAGAACAGGCATGGGATACAAATAATAGAACGAACCGTAGATAGGCCAGAATTCATCTTAGCCACATTAACATCACGTTGACAAATAAAGAGACTATCAGAGAGTTAGACGGAATGACTTGATGGGATTTAGCAGATGATCTTTGACGGAAGATCTGGGCAACTGATTTAGAAGCATTCACGCCATTAAAAGCTAAAGACTCTCTACGGCTATCTCGCGCG